CTGCTACCCTCTTCGGCAAAAAGAAAAGAGAAGTTGCACTGGAAAGTTCTCAGGAAATCCTGTGTAGAAATAGGAGAACCTTGGTGATTGAGTCCCAGGTGTTATTTGTCTCCTGCACCTCAGTGTGGTCCTCTGATGTTCAGTGTGGCATCCTTCAGGTCCAGCCACAGTGGCTGAGTAGAAGTCTGCATTTGAATGAGACTGCAGGGTAAGTACCAAAATGTCTTTATTCTTGGTGAATAAAACAAGAGAGCCAGAAGTGACAGGCTTCAAACCCTGTTGTACTGGCTTGGATTGACTTTACCTTAATTCTGTCCCATTTATTGCTCCTCTGCATGTATTAAATGATAAGGTTGCAGACTAGAAAGAGAAGGGCTCTGCCCCTGACTTACAACTACCTTGCCGTGTTGCTTACGAAAGAACAAACCCTGAGCTGGGGTGTGCCACCATAGTACTGTGCTTGTCTAGCATTTGTGAGGACCTACGTTTCACTCTCAGCACTGCTGGGGTACATATTAGCTCAGTGTGGTGGTATACACCTGTGATCTCACCACTCCAAACGTAGTGGCAAGAGGATCACAAGCTCAAGGGCAGCCTGGACTACATAGAGAAACCCCACCTCCAAAAAAGAAGTTCTCGATTTTGCAGGGATGAGGGTTGAGCTCAGTGATAGCTATTGTGTTTAGCATGTCCAAGGCCCTAGGTTCTACCCCAGGAGTGAGAAAAGTTTCAAATCTTACAGCATTTCAGATTTTTGGATCAGGAATGTTCAACTGGTAAAGTCTATGCAAATATTTCAAAATCCAAGAAACTCACAAATCTGAAACTCTTCTAGTCCCAAGCATTTTGGGTAAGGGTTATCAGCCCATAAGCTCTTGAAAGTGGTGTTGAACACAACCACAAATGTGTTGAGCACATTAAATGCTGTTTCCTTCCCACTTTCAAGTATCCATTGAATGATGAGGTAGTTGATGGCACCTCAACTATATCCTAAACACCAGAACTTGTGAATGCAGCCTTATTTAGAAAAAGGAGCGAGGGAAAAAAAAATAAAGAAAAAGGACTGGTGGAGTGGCTCAAGTGGTAGAGTGCCTGGCAAATGTGAGGCCTTAAGTTCAAACCTCAATTCTGTCAAACATTTTTTAAAAAGACAAAACCTCACTTTATTTGTAAGGCGCCAGTGGCTCACACCTATAATCCTAGCTACTCGGAGGCAGAGATCAGGAGGATCGTGGTTCAGAGCCAACCCTGGGCAAATAGTTCATGAAACTCTATCTTGAAAATACCCATCACAAAAAAGGCTGGAGAAATGGCTCTAGGTGAAGGCTCTGAGTTCAAGCCTCAGTACTACAAAGGAAGGAAGGAAGGAAGGAGAGAGAGAGACAGAAGAAAGAAAAAAAGAGGAGCCAGTGTGCTAGTACATGCTTGCAATTCCAGCTACTTGGGAAGTGGAGGTAGGAGGATCATGATTTGAGGATGACCTGGGCAAAAGGGAGAGGCCCTATGTGAAAAAGCAAAAGGACTGGGAGTGTGGGTCAAGTGATAGACTGCATCCTAGCAAGCTCAAGGACCTGAGTGGCCAGGAGAAAATGTTTGCAGATAATTAATTATCTGGAGCTGAGATGGTCCTAAATCCCATCACAGTGTCCTTCCTTACTGGAGGAAGGCAGAGAGAGATTAAATGCAGAGATACAGGAAGAAACCTTGTGACTACAAGCAGAGACTGGACCTATGTTTCCAAAGCCAGAGATGCATGCAGCCATTCAAAGCTAGCAACAATTCTCCCCAGCAGCCTTCACAAAGAGCAGAGTCCTGCCAACACTTTGATTTTGGACTTCCAACTCCAAAGCTGAGAGGGAACAATTTTCTGTTGTTTTAAGTCCTCTTATTTATTGTCATTTGTCATGGTGGCTGTAAGAAAACATATTCACATTGAAATTAACAATCTTTCATTTTTAACTATCATCTACAATTCTGTATTGGCAATAAAAGCCAACAAAACTTATTACAAATCCATTCCATTTTGGACTGGGAAATCCAGATTTGAAAATTTATGTCCAAAAAAATTTAAGAATATACAGTCAGAAAACAACACATATAAAGTAGGCCAGTTCATGAAACTACTTTGTTCTCAAGGAGAAAAAGAGAAGTAAAATGCTTTTTTATGCAAAATATTTTGCAGTGAATAGATAACATTATTTAGGGATAAGGATTATTTGTGCTGTTCCTATAGAATCCTAGTTAGCTTTTCTTTAATGTGCATTAAGCATAAAGGAAAGAAAAGGAAAAAGAACCAACACCAAGGGCTTAGATTTCACCTACAAATCTGTGTTGTAGACTGCAATCTGTCAGAAAAGCCCACAAATCCCCCTCTGCATTTTTTGTATAAACACTTTTTATTTTGAGCCTCTCTTTCTCTCATGCTAATAAGAAATTTTTAAAGCAATCATGAGCTAAAACGGAAGATAAGTGACAAAGCAGGCTTCGTCTAAGTGTTCTACATTATCCTTCTGGCCTTATTTTGAAACATTCTCAGAAAGTGGAGCTGAGATAGGCTTCTTTGCTGGAGCACTGGAGCAATAGAGCACTGTGCAGTTTACCTGGTGTTGAGGTTTAAAAAAAAAAAAAAGGTCCAGGACTCACACACTGGAAGTAGGAAGGGCAAAGTGTGGCTCTCAGTGATCCTGATCTCAGAGCAAGGAGTCTTTGGGTCAGAGAGCTTGACGGGGGCTCTGACCTCATCTTTTAATAGCCTGTCCCTACCCAGGTTACTTTTTTAAAAAACGTATAGTGGGGATGTATAGTTCCATGGTAGAACACGTGCCTAGCATGGCAAGGCCCTGGGTTCCATCCCCAGAACTGCAACAAAGTGTGCTTTTATTGTGTACAACGTGATGTGTTGATATATTCATGCATTATGGAATGCCGAATTGCTAAATCAAGCTATTTTGCATGTGCATTATCTCATACACTTATCATTTGTTCACAGTGAAAACACCAAATCAAGCTGTCTTAGTGATTTTCAGATAAATCATACTATTATTAACAATTATCAACACAGCATACAAAACCCTTTTGAACTTGTTTAACTGGAAGTTTGTGCTCTCGATGAGTACCACCTCCATCCTCCCACCCTCCAGCCTCTGGTAACAAGCATTTTATTTCCTGATTCTATGAGTTCAATTTTTTTACACTCCACATATAAGTGACGTCATTCAGTATTTTGTCTTTCTGTGCCTGGCTTATTTCACTTAACACAATGTCCTCTAGGTTCATGCATGTTCTTACTGAATACTACTCCACTGTGTATCTGTACCGTATTTCCTTTAGCCATTGGTCAGTCAATGAACACTTAGGTTAATTCCATGTCTTAGCTACTGTGAACATGTGCCAGGGCACATGAGGGCACAAATATCTCTTCATCACACTGATTTTATATCCTTTAGATATTTCCCTACTAATGGGATTATTGTGTCATTTGATAGTTCCGTTTTTAAGTTTTGAGGAACCTCTATATTTTTCCCACACAGGCAAAGTACTTAAGCCCCTCTGAGTCTTGGCTTCCTCATTTGTAAATGAGGATAATAATAGCAGCCCCTGCTAAGGTTTTGAAATCCACATTGCTAAACCCTGTGGTCAGTTCTGAGTCCTGTCTTTACTCAGCCTATTAGTGCTCTTGACCACTTTCTCCACTTGCTGTTAAAACAAGCACTGTCCTCTGTCTTGCCTTTTAACTCCCAGTACTGTCTGTCCCTCTCTGGGTGGGAAGCTTGAGGTACTGAGCGTTTGGTCCTTGAAACTCATATCTTCTCACTTCCTTGGTGACTTCACCTATCACCATCTCACAGACGGCTCCAAAATCAAAATCCAGCCTTCTCTCCATGCTTCAGACTACTTTCGTCATTCACCTCTCTATACATGTCCACTGAGAGTCTAGTAAGCATCACAAAGTTGACACATCTATTCCCAGTTTTTTCTCTTTTAAATAATGCTAGGGTTCAAACACAAGATGTTCTACACGCTAGGCAAATGTTTTACCACTGAGCTACGTCCCCATCCACCGCTCCAAACTCTTGATTTCCATCCCGAGGCTGGCTTGGCTCCTCCTTCCCCATGCTTCTCGTGTCTGGAAATGACACACTTAGTTTGGGCTCAAGCCAAACACTGAAATGTCTTCCATGCCTCTTTTCTTATGATGTGAGAACACCATGTTCAAATCCAACTTACTGCCATAGTCACATCAAAGAATAGCCAAAAACCTACCATTTCTCCTTCCTCCAGTTTTAGCTCAGGGCTTCAGGCCATCACCGTCTCTCTCTTGGATTATTCCAGTTGTCTCCAAACTGGTCTTTTCTACCCTGCTCCCACCCCAGCACCAATCAGGCAGAGCAATTCCTTAAAAACTGGTATCAATATATATCCCTGATTAAAACTGCCTAACAGCTTCTCCATTGCACTCAAATACCTGGCACCCTGGGACCTCATCCTCTACCACTTTCTACTTAGCAAGTCCTTCCCAAGCTTAGAACCAGGCTTTTTGCCTCGACTTGGAAAGCAGACAGATATCCACGCCATGGAGCAATCTCCCCAGATTCCCTGCCTCTCTATCCCATCCCCAGATTCTTTTTCTTCTTAGCTCTCACCTACGTGGCATTATATACACATTGATTTGTTGTCTGTCTCCTTACACGCAAGCTCCATGAAAACAAGACCTCTGTTTCATTCATTGTTATGTCCTTGGCACCTAGAATGTTGTTTGCTATATTAATAACTATTGTGCAACAGAATGAATGAATGAATGAAGTAATGCATGTAAGTATGGCACCTAGCTTATAATTGCTAAGTAATACACACTGCTGTGTAGCCCAGGCTGGCCTTGAACTCATGATCCTCCTGCCTCATCCTCTTTGCCTCGTTGATTACCAGCATGCACCACCACGACAATTCTTTTTTTTTTAATTAGAAATGATTATTTGTCCATGATTATTTTTATACCTTACCTTCTTCCAATCTTCTCCACCAGGAGCCTGAGAGTCCTAAGAAGAAACAGATTATCATGGCAAGGAAGAACATCTCTGGCTAGCCCTCCTTTGCTGTCACCATGTCTGGGTCTGCCAGATAAGCACATAATGAGAGTGGTGAGACTATGTAGTCTTCAGGTAGATCCATCAAATGCCCTGGATGTGTTTTTGGACAGCCTCAATACATTAGGCCTTTGATTTTTATAGATCAGCTAAAACTTAAATATTTCTGCTTCCCACTATACCTACCAGACTTACCCTGAAAATTAGTTCCAAATAGTATCTTTTTTGCTCAAAAATCACAACAGCCTTAAAGGTAATGACTATCATGTTGCTTTGAAGATTGTATTAATTTAAATATATGGAATTTTGTGGGAGAAAGTTAGGTAAGCTCTGGGAAAAAGCAAACCAACTAAACCTGTTCTATTATTTGCATTGGAGCCTGGGATATTACTACAACTCTTTATTGATTTACACATTTTTTGAGCTCTGTGCTCTGTGTATCAAGAAGAGGTGGGCACAGATTTGACACCATTGCCAACATGATTTAAAAGCACTTAGTAGAGTCCTTGGAACACACCAGTGCAATGACAAGCTGCTTTTTTTTTCTTCTGGGATGGTGCCATCAGCAGTCATCTCCCTGATGCTGATAGGCAGCCAAACCACCTGCGATAAGGACTATCAGTCAGCAACGTTCATGGACACTGCTATTGCAGACAGCCCTGACGCCTGGTGCCGACCTGGCTAGCGTCAGGTTCAAGCCAAACACCCACCTGTGGGCCCAGTCCTGGGAGGGACCTGGAAAGTTACTAAACCAAAGGCCAAGAGGACTGGGTCTCCATCCAGAGTGGCTGAGTCCCCATCCACCCTCAGGGCAAAACACTCTTGGAGACAAATTGGCAAGGTTCTTAGACAGAAGGAGACAAAATCACTGACTCAGGGAAACCAGACCCTTTCTGGAGGGGTTCAGCCTTTTAAGACATGGCTGGAACACTCTTGGGTGGGGCATTTCACTGAAAAACAAACAACTAACAGTTCATCTCCATCCAAAACAAGTTTCCCTGTGAGGAGCCCAGCCATTGCCACCACCTCAGGCTCTTCCTGAAGTTCCTTTGGCCACGTAGACCATACCCTGGTTTATCCCAATTTCTGGTCTGCCCCACCCCCAACTAGGCTTCCTGAGTAATGCCTACTTGCGTCCACTTTAGGTGATAACCGAGTCCAAGTCCTGCAAGGATACAGTCAGGCCAGAAAGGGGCCAAGAGTCTAGCAGCTGAGAGAACTGGCTTTGGAACTGGAGACCTAAAATCCTGTATCTACCTCAACTGTGCAGGCAAGCAGGCCTAGCCAATGAATGAATGTACTTTCCAGAATTTCCATTTCTTGCCAGCAAGACTAGTGGGGTCCCAGGATTAAAACCCTCCCTGGTCATCTCCTCCCTGCCTCTCCCAGCACACACACACACACACACACACAAACACACACACACACACACACACACACACACACACATTCATGCATGTATGCACACAGCTGACAGAGAAAGAGACTGTACCTGAGTTCAGTTTCCAGGGACAAAGTACTGCCAAGGTCTCCCGGGCCAGACAGCTGGACCTTTCCCACCCTTCCTCTGGACATCTGGCATTCAGACTTAGCTTTCCAGGCAACTCAGCCCAAGAGGTTTATTCCTCTGGGTAAAGCTACTCTTCCTCTATAAAAATAGATGTCCTAAGTGGGGTTCCTCTTCTAGAACTTGACCCAATGGTGGGCACAGCTATGTGCCAGCCTAAGACCAACTAACTCACCACAAGATAGAGAGAGAACCAGGAACCTGTGCATACACACAGGACTTTGAACACTTAGTAGAAAAAAAAAAGAATGCAAAACATCTCATCAATAATTTTGTATTGATTACATGTTGCAATACTAGTATTTGGGAACATTTGGTTAAACAAAATATATTTAGTTCCATGCATTGCATTTTACCTTTTAATGAAGCTATTTGTAATAGTTTAATGCCACCCAATGTCTATATGTCTAGTTCCTAATTTCTGGAAACTGAGAACATCTTTTTTTGGTTTTTTGGCAGTACTGAAGTTTGAATTCAGGGGCATCAGGCTTGCTAAGCAGGCGGTCTACCACTTGAGCCATTTCTCTAGCCCTGTTCTTTTTGTGTTGGATATTTTCAAGATGGGGTCTCTCAAATTACCTGCCTGGGCTGGCTTCGAACCCTAATCCTCCTGATCTCTGCTTCCCAAGTAGCCAGAATTATAGATGTGAGTCACTGACATCCAGCTTGAGAACATCTTACATGATCAAAAGGTCTATATTCCCTTACAGGAAAAAAGTTGAGATTGCCTAAGAACACTGGCTTTCAGACCTCAATGACACATAGAGTGGGTAGACATGAACTGGAGTTGTCTTATATTGGAAAAGGAGAGTATACTTTTGCAGATGTAACTGGAATGGTTCAACCTTGTTAGGCAGCAGTATCTTTGCTTCTGTACATATGGGATAATGTGCATATATGTTGCACAGTCAAAGGGCAGCGTGTCATGCGTGACATACCTGTTAAGTTATTTGCTCAGCTACTTCTCTCTAGAGTTCCCAGTAGTCACTGTGGGTAGCATGACTCCAACCCCTGACTCTTCTGATTGAATCTGGGCAGGCATCTAACCTTACCTGACCCACCCTGGGGCCTTTTTGTTGAACTATAGATCTGGGAGCAACAGGGACTTAATAATGCCTAAGCTAAAAAGTTATGACATTTTCTACCCCTGCCTAGACCAGAAATGCAGAGGATGATGATGATGATGATTATAATGAGAGAGAGAGAGAGATTATACAATAGAGAAGAGTCCTAACAATAATTCAGTCACCAGTTCTAGTCCCTTCCTGAGGTCATTTTTCTCTTATGTTAGCTTAGGCTAACATATCAGTTTATTTTCTGTTTCTGTAATGAAACGCCTAAGGCTGGATGATCTGCAAAGAAAAGATATTTATTTTGGTTCATGGTTCTGGTCCAAGACTGAAGGCCCACATCTGGTAATGGCATAGTCTCAAGATGGTATTGAATGTCACATAGTAAGAGACAGGGAGCACACATGTGTCTCCTGGCCTCTCCCTCCTCTTACAAAGCTACCAGAGTTCAGTCATGGAATTTCTACACTGACAACCTCATCTAACTCTAATCACCTCCCAAAGGCCCCACCTATAAACACCAGGTTAAATTAAGCTTCCATTTTCTTAATTCTTCACAATGGAGATTTAACTCCAACACAAGTTTCAGAGAAGACAAACCACATTCAAACTCTCAGATAATTTAATGATTTCTCTTACATGCTACAAAAAGAATCAACGATGACACCTTCTTGTAGGTTGTTTATTAGAAATGAGCATAACTGTAACTGATCTCTCCTCCTGAGTAGCCAGGATTATAGACTTAGCAAATACGCCCAGCTTATTGTTAATTTCTTACTGTGTCTAATTTATAAATTAAACTTGGACTGGAGTTGTGGATCAAGCAGTAGAGTACCTGCTTTGCAAGTGTGAAACCCTGAGTTCAAACCCCAGTTCAACAACCAAAAAATAGCAAAAATATAAATTAAACTTAGGCGTCTGTATGTATGTATAGGAATAATCATAGTGCATACAGGACTTGGTGCTACCTATGTTTCAGGTATCCACTGAGGGTCTCAGAACATTCCCTAGTGGATAGGGAGGATTACTGAATTTCTACAGAGAGTATAGGTCATGTAGTCAGAAGTTCTTTGTACAACCTGTATCAGAACCTGGAATGCCTGTGCAAATGCAGTTCCCAGGGCCCTTCCCTTCTAGCATTTAAATTTCAGTTTCTGGGTGAGGACTGACACCTGCATGTTAAGCATATGTTTAAGAAGGCATGGCATGACAATTAATATTTATTAAGTCATGACTACTAGGATTGGAGTTACAACTTTGCTGCTTATTATTATTATTCTTATTAGACCTTAGACAATTTTTGCATTTACGCTTCTGCTAACATACACCCCCCCACACACACACACACAGTCAAAGTAGGAAATTCAAATAGAATTACTTTGATGATTAAATGAGATTATCAGACTATCTTGTGACCTAAGTGCAAATATTAGTTCTGGCAGCCTTGTAGAATCTTTGGGGTTTTCTGTACAAGTTACCACGTGATCTATGAATAAAGAGGTTTTTGTATTTTTTGTTTGGTTTTGTTTTTGAGACACTGTCCCAAACTCATGTTCCTCTCACCTTAGCTCCCAAGTGCTGGGATTATAGGCACGTGCCATCACACCCTGACCAAGAGTTCGTTTTTTTTTCCAATATGTGTGCCTTTCGTTCCTTTTACATGTCTGATTGCATTGGCTAGGACCTATACTAAGTATTGAATAAGAGTGGTCATTGTTCCCCATCTTAGGGGGATTATGTTTGTTTTTTTCAGTACCATAAAATACCCAGCATATTGTACCATGCCTGATGTACTGCAGGCACTCAAAGGAGGCTAACAGAGTTAACTAACATATGTATTTGTATGTGTGTGTGTGTGTGTGTGTGTGTGTGTGTGTGTGTGTGAAAAGACATTGCTTTCATTAACACCTTGTCCAATTAATCAATCTATTTAGTTACAAGTAAAATTTTGAAATTTGTAGGGTGATACTGCATTGCAATCAGGAACATTTTCAAGTGTAAAAATTCTCTACTGCAGTTTAGGAATTTAGGAATAAACTGTGCAATGTGTAGGTGATACTGAATTTTTCACTCATGAGGAATTGGTACCTACTCTAACCAAATTAGTAACCCTATAAAGGAAAACAGATCTGATTGAAATATGATGACAATTCAGAGAACCCTTGCTCGGCTTCCTCTTCTATTGGACAGAAAGTCCAGGTGGTAGGAGAATCTGAGTTCTATATTATCACAATGCTAAAGAGGCCCAGTCAGAGCCAGCAGCCAGTGGCTCATGCCTATAATCCTAGCTACTTGGGAGGCTGAGATAGGGAGGATCACAGTGTAAGGCCAGCCTGAGCAAACAGTTCTTGAGACCCCCATCTCCAAAACAACCAGAGCAAAATGGACTGAAGGTGTGGTTCAAGGGATAGAGCTCCTGCTTTGCAATTGCAAAGTTCTGAGTTCAAACCCCAGTCCCACCAAAAAAAAAAAAAAAGCCCAGTCAGTATTAACTATGTATGTAATGCAAAAGATAGCACACTTGTCGTCCTGTAGATTAAACATAAAAATCATTATTAAAAACTTATGGAAAACTCAATTCAAACATTTTTTCATGTCCATTATTGTCTTAAAGGAGGGGTGAGAAGCAGGACAGGTATGGTATTTTAAATAGGTCTCACCTAGGGGAATTTAATATTTTGTGGTAGATACCAGATTTATATGCCATATGTTGCCGAAATACAATATGAAAAAAGAAATGATCAAAGTGAGCTAGAGTTATACAGGAAGTCATAACAAAAGTCATAGGATTTCAAAGGAGCTTTTAAAAAATAATAGACCTCGGATAGGAAGAATTAAAATGTAAGTTTTTAAAAATATTTTTAATTATAGGTATTTTATATTATTATGTTCATTAAACTAGAACAAGCCAAAGTCCAAAAAAGAGAAGAAAAAGAAGAATGAAGAGTAGTTTCATTTTGATCTCAATTATATCTCTCTGTTCCTTTCTGTGCATGAAGAACCCGGGAGAGCAAGCCAGGAGACATCACACAGACGCTTGTCTTTTACCTTTCACCAAGTTGAGCAAATCAGCAACAGCTTACCTGGAGAGAGTACTTTACTTCTCAGATTCTGAGGGTCAGTTGGTGATGGTGGTGTGATCTTTGAGTAGCATTGACAGAATCCATCCCCAAACTGGCTTTTGTTTCTTAGGCCACTGTCTAGAGGTAGGAGAGAGTTAATAGTTACCAATTCACAGTGCCATCAGATTACATAATTGACCTGGCAATGGCCTCTCCAAATGTTTTACTGTCTAGCAATTATAGAGAAATAAAAATCTTTAAAAGTACACAAGGCATATAGCTGAGCTTTGATTGAAGCTGTCTAAATCTTTCCCACAGAATAAAAGAGAATGAACAAGAGAAAAACTTGTATGACTTTTTGTGTCTACTATCCATGTTTTCTTTTGATTTAATTTTATTTTTTCAACATGTAAAACATGAACATTTCCGAAGCCAAAATCAGATAAAAAGGTACATTCAGATAAGTCTTTCTTCCATCCCCATTCCACTCTGTTCTTTCTTCCCTCATAAACATTTAATTAATTTGGGGCTTATCCTTCCAGTGTGTCTTTTTGCAAATAAAAGCAAATTCACCTGCACATACACACATCTATATTCACATTTCTTTCCCTTTTTGCCTACAAAGTACCCTACCATCTCACAGTTTGGGAACTTGCTTGTTCACTTAACAAGGTATTCCTCAGATTACTCCATGTCTGTATGAAGAAATCTGCCTCATCTTTTTTACAGAACAGTTTGAAGCAGCTGTGTGATTCCCTTTATAATAGTACTAAAGTCATTAAAAGAGAAAACTGTAACTTAGCAGAATCAAGCTACTTCTAGCCTACCCACTGCAAATTTCAATCTGGGGCTAATTTACCATGCCACTCATCTCCTGCCTTCAAATGCTGGCACGTGGTGGGAATACAAAACCGATTCTGATCATTTGCCCAGGCAAATACAAGTAGGCCCTGGGCTGGAACAATCCAGAGATGGCACAAGGGCACAAGGAAATTTTGCAGTTGGGGGGCAGGAAAAGAAAAACTTCCAGATACTAAGATCTGGGCAGAAATCATGACTCCATAAATAGGTTGGTGAACACAATTAAATGGCTACAATCAGAGATTTCCTCTTACCACATCCCCAATGAGCCATGGAGCAAAATGGCACCAGGCACAGACATGGAACTATAAGGCTTGAATTGCTAGTCTACTTTATTTTGGGGGCTGTGACTCATTTGAAAACCAGACACCCATCTCTGGGATTAAGTCTTCCATCAAAATTCTCTGTTAAATAATTTGTTTATAATAAATATGTGACACAGGATAACTATGGGAGATCAATGTAGATAACCCCCTAAGCTCAAATGTGCACAAATCTTCATGGCACCTGCTTCTAAACCTTGTTCATTGCTACCATTCCGATCTGATGCCATTGAACTCCTCAAGTCAGGGATGTCCAAATTACATAGTCCCAGAACTAGATAATCTTAGGACAATATTGTATTTTGTCCTTTGCAGTAGATGTTCTATGGGGGACAACTTGAACATATACACTTAAGATCAATTCAGAAACAAAGTAAATCAGATGTGTATGTAATTTTTTTCTTTTTACATTAGCTTCTTAAAAAATTGAGATTATAGCAGGGTGTGGTACTTTGTGTCTGTAATCCCAGCACTCAGGAGGCTGAGTAGGAGGATCAAGGCCAGCCTGGACTAGAAGAAAGAAAAAAATTGGATTAACAATAATTTTAGACAGTAAACTGATATTGTTTGTTTATTAAACTGATCATTTATTAAAACTACTTTTGCCCAAAGTAATTTTTTCTATGCTCAGAAATCAATGCTACCTTGCTCTTCCAATGTGAGGGAGTAGGTTCAAATATTTTTAAAACACTTTTTCCTTTTTAGAGACTTATATATATACTCATTATATTAAACACAGAAAAATATTTAAGGAAAGTAACAATTGCCCTAATTCATACCACCCAGCTACAGCTACTGTTCATGGTTGTGTTTTCTTTCAGTATTTTTCCTATATGTACATATGTGAAGGAGTGCAGAGTCTGTAAGTCTAATAATGATCTTTAACCAAAAGCAACCAAATAGAAGACTTTATAAATAGAACACAAAGCTATACCTTCCCAATAAGAACACCCTCTGACTCTAACTGAAATGACTTTGGGATCTTTTGGCTTCTGGCTAAGTTTCTAAATAGAAAACTTCCTGTTCACAATCATCACTTGTATTCTAAAATTATTTTTTTCAAACATCTACTAATTTTTTGAAGGGGAAATGGGCAAAAACACCCTTTCAAATCTGTTATCTGATTGTGGGTCTTCAACGGGCGAAAATGATTAAATGTCTCATTCACTTCCAAGTTGCCAACGTTCCTTAAAGTCAGCGCTTTAAAATCTCAGAAGTGTTCTTTGCCTTAATCAAAGATGACACTAAATCACTCATTAAAAAGACATTTACAGAATACTCAAACAAGGATGATGACCTTTAATTGATTCACTAGAATTTTCTCAGTATTCCCCCTGAAGACCAAAACTGTGCATTTGTGTGACCAGCAGCAGAGATGTGCAGCCACTGGCCAGAGACCAGTGGGAGCTAACTGGCCTTGATAAGGATGGATCTAGCACCTCACCAATCCATATTCTAGACAAAGGTCAGCGTAATCAGATAGCTGTAAATGAAAGAAGCCTCTGAAAACCTACACTAGCTGAATGAATAAACCAGGAGGCCATATTTGCTTTAGAAAACAACTCTTTCAGCAAATTCCTTTAAACAACCAGTTCCCTTTTTGGGTATTTAAAGAAATAACCAACTACATGGAAATACACCTTTCAGGAACTCACTCCTGAGACCTGTACACAAGTACTTCTGTTTTCCTGGGAAATCTTTTAAATGTTGCTGTTTGACATACTTAACACAATAAACAATTACCAAAGTTTCATCTTAATTATAGGTAATGTAATTTGGGGTTATAAGGAGCAGCAAGGTAAATTAGCTTCCTATTTCTCAAGACCTTGTTCAGGCTGCGTGGAATTTAAAAAGTTATTTAAAAAGGGCAGTCAGACTTTGCGAACATTTAACGCTTTCAATATGGTTGGCCTGCACCCAGGACATTGAGGTCTCACGCTCACCATTAGCACAAACTTTACAAAGAAAGCTTAATGTGAGGAAAGCAGGTTCATTCCTAAGCATAAAATATTCGTTACTTTTAATAATGAATTACTTCATTATGCTTATTAAATTTAAACAGGATGTGAATGGGTGTACAAAGTATTAAGAGTAACACAGGCTACATAATTTGCCCAGTCCACACAAAATGAAAACACGGGGCCCCTTGTTCACAAATTAAGAATTTCAAGAGGGCAGGAGCAGAGTGTTAAACCAACCACAGGTCCTGCTGAGAGCCAGGCCTGTGAGATTCCCCCAGGTCCCATGCCCATGAAGCCAGCCCTGCAAGAAGGCCCTTTTCATGCACTGATAGCAACCGTCGTCATCCTCGGCTGGGTTGAGGGCTGGATGCAGGCTTTGTCAGTCGATTGAGTTTTAGGTAAGGTTCTCACGCAGCAACTAATTACCCGTAAATCAGTGTGGGCAGAGTATTATAAGACAGAAGTCTTTTTATTTATTTATTTATTTTAAAAAAACAAGGCTTTACCACTTGGCTTTAAAAAAAAAAAAAGTTCTACACTGTTAGCAAACTGCCTGCTGGAGACAGGTCTGATCGTCCCAGTATCCTAGCCTGGGAACCTATGGGACCGGTCCCTGCTGCCCTCTGTATTTGCACCCCTCCCCCCCAACACACACACCAGGCCCGCAGGTCCCCATCGTCCCGGGAACAAGAGGGATGTTGGTTCGGTTCTAGAAATCCTCTTTCCTCTGTCGCCTGCCCCGCCCGAACCCGAAGCGTGCGGCACCGGAGCCCTAGCTCCCCGGACCTCCCCACCCCTCCCCACCACCCCTGCGCCCGCATCCCAGCTCGCGCGTCGGCGCGCAGTCGCCTTCCCCGGCCCTCCCAGGACAGCGCGGAGGACCCAGGGCCCAGCCGCCGAGGCCGGGCAGAAGGGGGCCTGAAGTTGGCCCGAGGTCCCCCGCCCCTTGTCATCCCCTCCGCGCGTGGGGTCTCCGCCCCGCTCCTGAGCCGACGAGCGCCGCGCCCCGGGCGGACTGGGACACCGCATCGAGTGCCCCGGCTCCCCACCCTCCACCCCGCGCGCCCGGGGACGCGGCCTGCGCGCGCGCAGCGCCCCCTGTGGCCGCGCCAAGCGCCGGCGGCGGCGGGGGAGGAGGCCGCGGTGCGCCGGACCGCGCCGACCCCCTCCCCACCCTCCCCCGGGTCGCCGGCGGTGTCCGCGCCTCCGCGCCCGCCCCTGATTTCCTCCGCGCGGCGGCGGCGGCGGCGGCAACGGCGGCGCCTCGTGCGCGCGGTTATTTATTTATTTCCGGGCCCCGGAGCGCTTATAATGGAGCCGCTGTCAGCAGAAGCTTCTACTGCTGTTGCTGCTGCCGCCGCCGCCGCCGGCCCTCCTTTTTTTCCCGGCAGATCTTTGTTGTGTGGGAGGGCAGCAGGGATGGACTTGAGCTTGCGGATCGCTTGCTAGAGCCGCCGCGCTTGGAGAGGGCGCCGCAGCCGCGAGGAGGAGCCGCCACCACCGCCGCCGCCCCGAGGCCCCGCCGCACGCGGCCTCCGTCCGTCAGTCCGTCTGCCCGTCCGCACCCACGCTCGCCCGTCGCCTCCCTGCAGAGTCCTCTCGCGGCGGCAGATGTGTGTGGGGTCAGCCCACGGCGGGGACTATGGTGAAATTCCCGGCGCTCACGCACTACTGGCCCCTGATCCGGTTCCTGGTGCCCCTGGGCATCACCAACATAGCCATCGACTTCGGGGAGCAGGTAAGTCCCGGCCGCGCCCCGCGCCCCGCAGCCGGCGTCCCGCACCTTGCATGTACCACGCTGCGGGCTCTGCCTCGGCCTCAGGCGCAGGGCGCCGGGGATGGAGGCAGAGGAGAGTCACCTGCTCCTCCCTCCCTGGTATCCTGGTGTGCAGCCAGGCAAGGATGACTTTGCCGGCACCCTCCATTCCCAATATTCAGAAGACTTTTCCAGCTCTGGACGTGCAGCAAATGACGAAAGACGGGTGCCATGGAACTTCACCTATACAAGGGTTTTTCATGCACGAGCGGAGTATTATGTAATTTGTGATTATGTAAACCTCGGGTCCAA